ATTAAATTTTTTAATATAATTAAATCGGGTACGGGTACGAGTACAGGGCGGGTATGTATATACCCATACATGTATCTGTACCCGGTTTAATTTATCGGATTTTACCCGTACCCGTACCCGGTCAAACCGGGTATTTCCCATCAAAGTCGGGATGAGTTCGGGTATTACCCACGTGTACGGATTTATTTGTCATCCCTAAGTGGGGGTAATACTTATTGATATATTTGTAGTATTAAAAATTTTACATATAACTTTTAAAAACATAAATATATATCATAATTATATTCTATAAGTTTTTATATTTATGATTATGGTTATGGATGAAAATAAACTAAGTCAAACTAGGTTATACTATCATTTAGCAGGTCTGCAAATACATATCCTAAGTATAACTTATTTATCTATCATAAACATTTTTTTAAAAAAAATATTTGGTTAAAACTACAATTCTAAAAGTCTACTTTATTATAATTTAACACTAATAAAAACATAAAAATAAGTATGTTAAATTTTATAAAAATCAAGTTTAATTTATTTATGATATAAACATGTTTTTATTATCTAATATAAACTTTTAGATGATAATTTATTTAAAAAGATATTTTATAATAAAAATTCTAAATAAAACATAAATCTTACAATCTTAACTATTTTGATTTTTTTAATCAACATATACAATAAATAGAAAGTACAAAAAGTAAACATGCATGTTGCAAATTTTATATTATCAAAAATTGATTTTTTTAATATATTACATTATATATGTGAACATTAATATATATATTAATTAAACTTTTAAAAAACTGGTTTGTTATCAAAAAGTATTCTTCATCATATATAAAAATTAATTTCTTTCGAAAGTTTGACAAACATTAAATAAATGAACATCCCCTCTGAACCTAAGTTTTATACATACAATAATTTAAACATATATATTTATTTTATTAGAATATAACTTTATTTTTTAAAATATACTATTTTTTTTATAAAAAAATATGTATGCCTAAAATGGTAGTGGGGGCAAGTGCCTCCACTATTATGTATATAGATCTGTCCCTGTCCACACCCACATACATAAAAACAAGGAGGGTTTATAGTGAGAAGAAAGAATCTAAACCATTAGATTTTATGTAGATTGTCAAAATTAAAACATAAATGCAAATGACTTGTCCACGTAATCATCTGGCCCGTACGTGAAATATGATTTAGAATATCTGTGGAAAATTTAATGGTCAAGATGTATTTGTTTCACATCTCATAATAAATACTCCTCTCATTGTGTGTGTCATACATACCCATGGTAGTGATGAGCTTTCATTATGCTTTCCGTTATTGATAATTCTCATGAAATCTACATATATGGTACTTGTAAACATAAACATATAATTTTTTCCCTATACTGATGCTATTAGTGTTGTTGTGTTCTTAAACTTTTATTCATGGCTATGTTTAAAACAATATTGTAGATAAGAGAGGGACTTCATTATAATCCTTATTTTCCTGGTGGAGCAATTGCCATGCCTAAAATGCTTAATGATGGTGCTGTGGAGTATGAAGATGGTACCCCTGCTACAGAAGCTCAGGTATTAATTTGTTTCTAATATAATTTTTTCCCTATACTGATGCTATTAGTGTTGTTGTGTTCTTAAACTTTTATTCATGGCTATGTTTAAAACAATATTGTAGATAAGAGAGGGACTTCATTATAATCCTTATTTTCCTGGTGGAGCAATTGCCATGCCTAAAATGCTTAATGATGGTGCTGTGGAGTATGAAGATGGTACCCCTGCTACAGAAGCTCAGGTATTAATTTGTTTCTAGAGGAATAGTTTAGTAAATCTTAAAAATGCATCGTTATGGACTCACTCGAAAGAATGGAGCTCATTCTTTTTTTATAAAATTTTTGTTGCAGATGGGGAAAGATGTTGTGTCATTCTTATCTTGGGCCGCGGAACCCGAAATGGAAGAGAGAAAACTGGTTTGTTTCCTTTTAAATCCTGTTTCGACCAGATCAACAATGACTATATCCTGTTTTCTAAAGACACTTGATATATGTACAATTTATGCAGATGGGATTTAAATGGATATTTGTACTGTCACTGGCACTACTTCAGGCTGCCTATTACCGTCGGTTGAAGTGGTCAGTTCTAAAGTCTCGCAAGCTGGTTCTTGATGTTGTCAACTAGCCGCCTCAAGTTTCATTTTCACTTATGCAAAGTTTATTGTTGGCAATAATTTGTCAGATAGTTAAGTTGTTTCATCATTTCAAATTCGTTATGCAAAATTAATGGTTAATGGAACAACCGGAAGAGTGTTCTAATTTTGTTTGAGATAAAATTGTACCATGCACTAGATGCGTTTACTTTTTCTTATCCATCTCGGACCTGTGTATTGTTGCATTTTCCGAGAGGTGTTATACTCTTAAATTTTATGGAACTTACCTGTCACCGGGATTCATGTTGGTCGTTATTCAATAAAAGAAATCTAGATTATATGCCCACTTTAGACATTGAAGGAAGACAGATTCTTTTAGCCTCAGTGGAACTTGCGTGCGGCGTGCCAGTGGTGGTTTAAGCATATTTTGTAGAAGTTGCTTAAAAATAAGCTTAACCATTGTGAGTTGCACAAGTTAAAATTCTGTAAATGTGGGAGGGAGGGTTGTACTGAAAACAAAGTTACCTATATAAATAATTGTTGCATATAAAAAAAAACTGAGACCTATACATATAGAGGGAGAGAGAAAAGGGATCAATTTATAACAAATATAGTTAACATAACTTAGCAATTGAGACTTTATTCGATTATATGTTTTTCATATTACTCTATTTTAAAGTATATTATATATACTTTTTACTATTAGTTACAAAAAACTCTATACCATCTCGGATTATCCTCACTTTATATTTAGTTACATATTTGTTCCTTTTAACTGTTGATCTCATTTAATTTACTAATTTTTAGTCAAAAATAATTTTATATCTTATTTAAATGATTTATTGTGAATACTAGTTTTAAATAAAATTTAATTTATAATTAAAAATATGATTTAAATAATATTCTTTGGCCTTGTAATTCACATTTTTTAAAATTTTTTATTTTGATCCTTAGTTTCCTTTTTAAGATATCGCGCAACTTTTTTTGTGGCTAGAAATTACTTATGTGGCTAAGGGTTATTAATGTCAGATAGTTAAGAGTTTATTGTGCAATTGAAAAGACACAAAAAATGCTTGGAGGCATAAGAGTTTTTTTTCACATTTTATATCTTGTGTTTTTTTTTTGTTAAATTTTGAATTCAAAAAATTACACAAAAAACACTTAGAGGATTAGGGCTTTTTTTTGTATATTTTTTAAATGCACACAAAATGCATATACCCCTAGGTGTTTTTTTATGTTTTTTTTTTCAATTGCACAGAAAATGTCTTTGGATTTGGGCTTTTCTTGCTTTCTTTGATTCTCTCGCATTCCTTGTGGATTTTATTTTTTAATTGAATGAGTTTCCTCACTTTCCTTGTGGGTTTTGTGTATATATTGCATCTCTCGTTTGCTTCTTAGTTGTCATATTTTGGTTCTTCATCATTTTTCACAAATTTTTTTCTCATCTCATTCATTTTTTATTCATTTTTTGCTTAAATTTCTTCTTTTCCTCTATATTTTATTGGTACAATATTTTGGTCAGGTGAAATTATTTTAAGTTTATGTAAATTTACTGTTGTATTTTTTTTTGTACAAATGCTCCTCTATATTTATAGTTTACATGATATTTTATATGATTTTTATTATAAGTATTAGTTTTATTCTAATTTTCAAGAATGTTACATAGAGGAGTTGATTTTGTATTGAATAGTGACGATGAACAAGAAGATCTTCGTGTCGAAGAGCATCATTTCCAAGATCAATTTTGCACCTTATATCGAAGTGTATTATCATAGTTTGAAAATAAAGAAGAAGAAGAATTTGTACAATTTCCATTGTCACCCCCAACTCCAAAGCTTGGGGATGATAATGACGAATATCAACCATTGTTTAATGAACCACAAATGTTTAACCAACAAAAACCATTCCTTCAATGCTATATCTCTGGCTCTACCTCTACCCTTTTGATTCTTGGACCAATTGGTGTGGTCCAAGCTACAATGAGAAATCGGTGCTTTGAACAACCTTTGCCAACCTAATGATTTTTAATAGATATTAATTGAGTTATAAAATGATATTCAATACGAACTTGTTATGTTATGTTATTCATTATATTAAATCACGAGGTTAGTTAAAGATCATATGAAATTTATGTTTGATGCATAAGTAAAATGTTTCCAAATAAAAATCTAGAAAAAACGAAAGAGATGGAGATAAGAAAAACTTTTGTATAAGGAGATGAAGAAGCAAAATTTGACAACTAAAAGGCAAACAAGGGATGCAATATATACACAAATCCCATGAGGAAAGTGAAGGAACCCATTCAATTAAAAAAGGCCCACAAGAAAAGCGAGAAAAGTAAGGGTAGATTGATATTCACGAAAAATGCCCTAACTTAGAGATTTTTTTTTTGTGCAGTTGAAAAGAATACAAAAAAATGCCTTGGTGTTGCGCTTTTTGTGCATTTCAAAAATGCAAAAAAATGCCTATACCCTCAAGTGTTTCTTTGCATTTCAAAATTACATAGTGTAACACCCTGATTTTCATAAAAATTATATTAATAATATGTAGTATTTATTTTAATGTTTTAATTTATTTATTAGAAGGATTTTTAATATTATTTAACTATTTGATATGATTTTTATTTTTATATGAAACATGTTATTTTTTTTATTAAAAGGGAGAAGTATATTTTATATTATTTATCTGTTTTATATGAGTTCTATCTTAATATAAAGCATGATTTTTAACAAGTATTTTGGTTATTTGATATAAGACATATTTTTTTTTACGAAAATGTATTTTCTTTAGAGTTAAGTATATTTGATTTATTAAAAAGGAGGAAATATGTTTAATGATATTAATTACTTTGAGAGGGAAGGAAGGACGTTGCAATCATTTATTATTATTATTATTATTTTAAGAAAATGACGTTATCAGGAGTTAAAAGAAACTTTCATTTCATACTTTTGACTTCTCATTTCTCTCTCATGTTTCTGAAGAACAAGGAGAACTCTAAGAAGAGGAACGACCCAACTTTACTCGTACTTCATCTTTGACTCATCAAGGTAAGGGGGAGTGAGAGACCTCACTTGGGGGTGTGGGAGTAACTGTTGGGTAGTAGGATTAGCCCGTAATCCCTTGCTTGATATATGCCTGTAGGAACAAACACTTTATGAAATTTTTTTGTTTTGTTTTCTGATTGTTCTATTGCGTTCCTTGTGTGATTCTGAGTGTGAATATGTGTTCAATTTCAATAATAGATATGTTTGATAGCGTGATTGGCCCCAATCCCTTGCCTGATGCATGCTCTTAGAAACATGTACTTTTCGAATATTTTTTGTTTTCGTGTTTGAGTTTTATGTCGTGTTCCTTGATGATTGCTAAATGTGAATATGTGATTATTTTTAAAAATAGACAAGTTTTGATATGAATTAGAGTGATCTATGAGTTATTGTGAGAAACCCTATGATGTGAAATTAGGGATATGATCTTTGGATGAATTTTGAGGCATTATATGTAAAATTGAGTATGAATTCATGTTCTAAGTGTTATTTGAAGGATTTTGACCGATTGATTTAAGTGATTTCATGTCTGAATGCGAAAAAATGCATGATTTCGCAAAGTTGAGAAATGTAGGTTCATACTGGGGCATGCTGGGCGCAACCCTAGTACTTTTATGTTTTATGTGAAATGAATTGTGATTTAAATGTGTATGTTGTTGACTATCTCTTGGCATGATTTATGTGTTACTCCAATATTGTGATAATGAAAAGTTCCTTGTATGAGACCATGTGAATATGATAGACAATGTGAAAAGTGAATATGAGACACGCGACATGATGATATGTGACAATGAGACATGATATATGAGAAACTATGACATGTGAAATGATGAGTCAATGAAGTGTGAATGTGTGATATGTATCATGTGCATCTATGTGACAGGTATGATGTGGAGTATACCGTTAGGAAAAGCCCTCCTTATGTAACAACTTGGGAGAGTCCTAGGGGATAGTGCAGTTTGGATGTCTCAATTTTGCCCGTTTGTGAGCACGAGACGTAGCTTGCGCAACTTTGTTATCCATACCAGACCCTAATAGTACATCCTTCTAATTGAGAGTGTATGGGTAGCTTCCTACATGTACTCCTAGACTGCCTTAGGTGTGTTGTTTAGGCAACACACTAATGATATGTGATATGTTACTGGGGTCATATGCATGCATTTACGAGTAGAGTCCATGACATCATTACATTATGAATGAATGTGTATGTATAACTTGAATTTGCACCTGGTTAATGTGTAGCTATGACTGTACTTATTATGATTTGTGTGTGTTTTGCTTGACTGTTATTTTTATACCTGAACCCGAGTGAGATGTTTCTCACTTCCCTCTTTGCTCTGTGTTGTCTTATTGTGTTGTAGGTGATCATCAGCATGATGATGTTGGTGATGAGGCTTAGACCATATTATTGGGTGTGCTCTGATAGAACATATGACATCGAGACTTAGTTATGATTAGTTTTAGGAAATCATTTCTTTTGTTCGTTTTGGAAAACTTGACTAATTCTATGTAATTCCACATTTGAGATTTGGCTTATGAATTATGGATGTGAACTTTTTACTCTTTTGTTATTTGAAACAACTATTTTAACTATGAAAGTTTTCATTTATTCATAATATTATGTGTTATATTTATTGTATATTTGTGTTGAAGTAGAGGGTGTCACACATAGAAAGTGCTTGAATCCTAAAATGCTTTTTATGTATTTTTTGTACTACGTAAAAAATGTTGGGACTAGTAACATTTATTTTATATCGTGGTCAACGTGTCTAAAACAATTTACTCTAGTAAATTGTTTTTAAAAATATTTATTTTCAAAATCTTTATTTTTAATATATTGTATGGGATAACTTCATCAATGCTAATACTCAAATGTTTGGGTTTAACAAAAACTACTCAATCAACATTCTATGCATTTCTTATCCATTGATCTAACAAAATTAATTGATATCATTAATTATTATAAAATTAATTAATATCATTAATTATTATAATATCCTAAGTACATGTTTGAAAATACGTCCAAAACGTGAATTGAATGATAAAATCATGTCTAAATGGTTAAAATTAATAGAAACTACTCATTGTTTTTTCTCATAAATGTAGATCAAATTGGATTTATCGTGCAATCAAACATGCTGTAAATCATTATTACAGTTCTTACATTTATTGTATTTAATTAACACTCCTTCCATTTTTTTTAACGTTTGTTTATGCAGAAAAATTAAGAAAATAATTAATACTCCCTTTAAATAGTTGGAAAAAAAATAAATATATTAAAAATGAATAAACATATTATATTATTCATTAAACACACATTAATTATTTAAAGTAAAAATAAAAAAATTAATAAATCATTAATTTTAAAAAAATGACAATAAAAATTAAGAAAAAAAATAATGTCAAAAACATGTGTGGAAAAAAAATGGGAGACAGCAGTAAATTAGCATCTTAGATACCCTTGAAAAGAGGCGAGAAATCTGTGAGTACATAGATCCGTCGTGGCATGGATTCTAATTAAATTGTAGAACAAATACTGATACTACTAAGAAAGGAAAGAAAAAGCAAGATATGCGGTGGTGCGCGTGGTTTACTATACAAGACACAGACTTGTTTGAATCCAAACAACGAAAACCATTGGCGCCACCCAACCCTTGTTTTCCTCTTCCATCCATCCATTTTCCCTCTGAATACTAAATAAAATGTCTCTCTCTTCATACCAACCCAAAACCAGAAAGAAAAAGAAGCAAAGCAATGGGTACGCCAACTACGAGGTTGTATCATCACCACCACGGACACTCCTCTGCCTCCAAATTCATCATCTTCTTCTGCCTCTCTGCTTTCATTGGCCTCGCTCTCATCGCCAACCTCTTCCGCGCCTCCCTCTCTTCCCACTACCTCTCCATCGCCACTAACTGGGTCGACACCAATGCCCCCCTTGTTCTCATCCCCAAGGACCCCGCCACACCCAAAACCAACAAAGTAACCACTTTTTCTCCCCCCCCCTTTTTTTTTTTTTTTTTTTTTTTTAACATTGTCTTACAATTTCACTTTCACCTTAACTTCACCCAAAAGTATAGGATTCTTCCTTACACATTATATATAAGCAAAAGTACCTAATTTTTCATACATATTAAAGAAAGAAATTAGTTAAATTCGTTAAATTTTACTGATTTCATATAAAAATTATATTTTATTTCCTAATTACTCTTAATAGTATTTATTGGAAATAGTAATTACATTTAATTCAAGGGCAATTTTTGAAATAATAGCATTAAATAGAGTCCATTTATTTAAGATTTGTTTATATTTAAGTTCAAAAATTTTAGTTACTTTTTGGTTTATGAGTCTTGAGAGGACATTATTTTGATCATATTACGGTGAAATGCCGCATGAGACATGCGCATTTTTTTATTTTATTTTGAGGACTGAATATTTAGAATGTGAAATTTGAATATGTGTGAGTGGTGATGATCTAAAATTAAACTCAGATTGAGGATTGCCTTTTATTTATGTACACTTTTTTTTGTTTTGTTATATTACTAGTCAATGTCGTATGAGATCTTTGACACCTTCTTCATGTCAAGAACTAAACATGTCAGAGTGTGAAGTTTGAATATATGTGGTGGTCCAATATGGACCAGGATGATCCAATAGTAATTAATAGATTTAGGATTTGTCTTCTAGTTGTATACACTGGTTTGTTTGTATGACTAGTCAATGTGGTGTAAGATTTCTGACACACTTTTTCTTGTCAAGGTATGAACATCTGGAGTGTGAAGTTTGGACATCTGTGGATGGTTTAATAAGAAATTGGATGATCCAAAAGTAAATTTGAGGATTTCCATATACTTATTACACTATTTTGATCATATCACTAATCAATGTAGTATGAGATTTTGACATACTTTTTCATATCAAGTTCTGAACATCTGTGGGTGGTTCAATAATAATCCAACATTATGCTATCATATTAGAATTTGAGATTGGAAATAAACCAACTTCAAAAGCTAGCTCAGAGCCTCACTTATAAATTATCTAGACTATATTACCAGTAAGTTAAGATGAGAATTGATTCATTTGTTTTGTGATTGTTGCAGGAAAAAGATGGGAAGGGTGTAAAAAGGAGGGGTCCCGAGAGATTCCTTTCGTCCACATTTGCAGATTTGCCTGCCCCCGAATGGCATTGGGAGCAGATGCCATCGGCTCCGGTGCCTCGGCTTGATGGGTACTCTATACAGATTAAGAATATGTTTTATGTGTTTGGAGGATATGCCCATCTTGACCATGTGAGTGTTTCGATTCCTCCTTCAAAAACATATTTAATGAATCAACCTGCTCATTTTTTAAGATGTATTTACAATGTAACTACTATGTTTCTTTGGTGACTGTGAAATTAGACTAGTGGAGGATGATTACTGATTAGGGAGCTTGGCGTGTGTTTGTTTGTTTCTTCAGGTGCACTCGCATGTTGATGTGTTCGATTTCAGCATCAACAAGTGGGTAGATCAGATTCAAATGCCAAAGGAGATGGCTAATTCACATTTGGGCATAGCGACTGATGGGAGGTATATATACATTGTCTCGGGACAATATGGTACCCAATGCAGAGGTCCTACTGCTGCTTCCTTTTCACTAGACACTGCAACAAAGAAATGGAAACCTTTGCCACCATTGCCAGCTCCCAGGTACACCGTTAACATATGCACTCACTCATTTTCTGTTTGTTTGTTTGTTCACACAAATGTGGTTGATGTGAACACAATCATGGTCATTAAGCGGTTATTGCAGCTACAATTGTAGTAGCAGACTGGAATTTAAAACTCTAGGCCTTTTTCTAACAATTGAAATTCCTGTTAAATTGGTCATTGTTCACTACATCAGTGATTGATTGAGTTTTGCTTTTACAAGAGGCTGAACTTTGACATGTTGGTTGAGCGGTTTTAACATAAGAACTTCATTCCAGGTATGCTCCTGCAACTCAATTATGGAAAGGAAGACTTCATGTCATGGGAGGTAGCAAGGAGAATCGCCATGAACCTGGATTAGATCATTGGAGTTTGGCTGTGAAGGATGGTGATGCATTGGAGCAAAAATGGCGGGATGAAGTTCCCATTCCACGTGGCGGACCGCATAGGTTAGCAGGCTGCCCAAATTCTAGTAGTAGGCTTCAATTTCTGTTCAATATTTAACCATGATGTTCTCATTTAGTTTGTGAGGATTTTAAGTATTTTTTCTTTTTAAAATAGGAATCCATGTTTTAAGAAAACCAAATTGTGTTCTTAAAAGCCTAAGAAGCTTTTGAAGGGCGAATACTTGAAAAGCGGTGGCATATTCGTTGTCTTCAAAAGGAAGTTGGTTGTTTTCCATCTAACTCTAGTTATTTGGTGCAGGGCATGCATTGCAGTTGATGATCGACTTTTTGTTATTGGTGGACAAGAGGGTGATTTTATGGCTAAACCCGGTTCACCTATATTCAAGTGTTCACGCAGGCTTGAGGTATGATTTCTCTGCTTGTCAACATCATACATGATTTATAGATTACATATAATAATTTGGTAGTTGTTTATATGGCATTGGAATTGAGTTAACTATTATGCTACTAACGAGGTTATTTTATGATATTTTCTGAGGGGATATTTTATAAGAATTATTTTTTTAAGGTTATTTTACAAGTATATTCTACAATGATGAGATATTGTCGAGTATGCTTGTAAAATAACCTTATAAAAATAACTCTTATAAAATATCCTCTCAGACAAATATCATAAAATAATCCTATCAGTGGTATCATAGTCTTAAGGTTGGATTCGGTGACAACTCTCAGAACTCCTCATAACTCCTCATAACTCCTCATAACTCCTCATAACTCCTCATAACTCACTGATAATGTGATATATAGAGATAGATTCCATTGCATGAAAGGTTAAGTCCCTTGTTTGGGGGGAGAATTGTTGGGATACAAACAAGTCTCACATTAATAAAATAAGAGAAAAAATAACAATGATTGAGAGACCTTTTGGGTGGTGACCAAAAGTAAAACTACGAGGCCTTAGGCTCAAAGCGGACATATCTCATCATTGTGGAGTTGTGTGTAAAATAATCTTAGAAAAATAACTCTAAAAAAATATCTCCTCAGACAAATATCATAAAATAATTCCATTAGCTGCAAAATTGTCTTTTGCCTAATCACACACTTTTTCATGCCTAATATGTTTAGAGATCAGCATATATTGGATTCTATATATGATCTTTTTAAGAATTCTTGTGGTTGTGGCATTAAATTTTCTTACATTTCAGGTGGTCTATGGAGATGTTTATATGCTGGATGCAGAAATGAAATGGAAAATTTTGCCAGCTATGCCAAAACCAAATTCGCACATAGAGTGTGCATGGGTAATTGTCAACAATTCAATTATTATCACTGGAGGTACCACAGAAAAACACCCAGTGACAAAAAGGATGATGCTGGTTGGGGAGGTTTTCCAGTTTCATTTAGACACATTGGTACACTTCTCAGTCTTTTCCTCATTAGAAATACATTGTGCATATTTCTTTATCCATTAATACCTCCTAGTCTCTCATCTTGCTCATTGCCTATTGTAATTTTATGAGTGCCATAAGCTTCATAAAACCATTCAGTCAAGAATTTGTCCATGAATTCATTGAAGTGAAGTGTCATTTTACAACATTTGATTCATGATTGTTTCTGGTGACTAATATACCTTCAGATAATTTAAGATAGTTTTATTGCTGATTGCAGAAATGGTCAGTGATTGGAAAGCTTCCTTACCGTATAAAAACCACATTAGCTGGTTTTTGGGATGGATGGCTATACTTCACATCAGGGCAAAGGGACAGAGGGCCAGATAACCCACAACCGAGAAAGGTCGTTGGAGATATGTGGAGAACGAAATTACAATTGTCAGTTTGAGATAAGAAACCTGCATATTGTCAAAAGTGTTGTTTTTTTTTTTTTTCTTCTTCCAATTTTTGGTTCACATTCTTGCCTCATGCATACTCAAATTATTTTTCTTTTCCCTTTTCAATTAATTCAATGCCCTAATTGGGTAATTGTTATGTAAAATTTGTTTATTTTCATTTTTGTGTACATAGTTCAGATTTGCTTCAGATATATATGGCCATCCGGAATTAGATTTGTTATTTTGGTTTCCAGTTACATTGTAGGATTTGTTATCATAAATAACAGTTAAATTATAATTTCTTCAACCCAAGTTGAAGAGAGAAAATATGTTTTGCTAAAATGATATTGCCTCTTCCTCGCCGACAGAACTCAGCAACGCTAGCTAAGGAGAATAAAGTCAAATTGAGATTTTGTTTTTCAAAAGAATCGTGTTCCTTCTCTTAACAACAGAAAGAAAAGTTGTCTGTATCTTAACAAAATTTACAAATCTATTTATAATATAAAAGTTGAACTATTATGTGATGATACGTTATTTTAAAATAAATTTTAGACGTTGTCATGTTAGCAAAAATATTGACATATCATTCTATGATCTATTTCTTTCTTTTAATATATCTCTATTTATGTAAACTTAATTACATATTCACATCTAAAAATTTAGCTACAAATTTACCTCCCAAGACTTCTTCTTCAATGACTACCTCCTCCTTAATATGAGGCCCCTATCCTCTTCTCCACCGCCTTTACCTCAGCTAAATGTAACATTAACATCAACCTCTTTGTGCTTAGACCGTGCTTGATGAGGATAAGAGGTCATTCATTTTTATGCATTTTTTTTTCTTTTTCTTTTGAGTAGATTGATAACTCTATCATCGTCGTTACCTCATCTCACCTCTTTCTCAACGATTACCTCATTCACAATATGAACGTCCTTATACTCATTTTCCCCACCGCCTTCACCTTGACCAAATACTATGTTGACATCAACCTCTTTTTGTCAAAAATGTGCTCGATAAGGATAAAAGATCATCCATTTATATTCTTTTGCTTTTTTTTTTTCTTTCGATTTTACTATATTCCTAAATGTCTTCTGAACTTATTGTATGGATGAGGTAACTTTGCGTATGAGATTCTTGGTGGATGAGACAACCTTGCACTATGAGATCTTTATGGATGAGGTAACACTGCACAAACCTTTTATGGATTTGAATTGTGAGTTGTTGATGGACGAGATAACACTACGAATCCTAATGGATGAAACAACATCGCACTACGAGATCTCGCATAGAATGGATGGGGTAACACTACATAAATCTCTAATAGATTTGAATCGTGGATTGTTGATGAATGAGATAATACTAAGAATCCTAATAGATAAAACAACATGGCACTACGATATCTTGCATATAATTAAATAATAGACTTTGGAAGAATCATGTAGCTGAACTGCAAATTTTGGGAGAGTCATAAATTTGAACCTTTTTTCATCTTTACAAATTTTCTCTATTATTTTAATTTGTATGTTTTTATTTGTTTAGAAAAGTTTTAAAATTACTTTTTGAAACTATATTTTTTGAATTTTTTGTTGTAGTTGATATTTAAATTGTTACCTCTTATTTTTCTTCATTCTAATTATAAATCATATTTTATGTTTTTAGTCTTTCTCTAATATCTATTGTCATTTTCTTCTCTTTTAAATTCTTATAATTTTTTTTTCCTTTGAACATGAGATTAGATGAGATATTGCATAAAGTGAGGATAAATAATTATAAAAAATAAAATGTGAAGTTATCAATAAATAAAATAATATTTTTCTATTATTGTTAAATTAAATTATAATCAATATCTCTTAATTATAAATTAATCATAATAATAATTTCTAATTAATTACAATTTAAAATTATTTTATTAATTACAAATTATAACAATATTTCATTATACCTATCAATTATGACACGGTTGTTTAAAAATTATAACTTCTATAATTAATTATAATTTAAAATTATTTGTTATTAATTACAAATTATAACAATATTTGATTATGATTATCAATTATTTTTTTATGTTTAATTTTATTTTCATTTTACTTCAATATTTGATACCCTATATATATATATTTAATTTAGTTAATAAATTTAAAATATTGTTTAAATTTATAATTTTAAAATATATTTAAATTTGGAAAACTCACACATAATTTATCACTACAATTTCAAATAATTCTTCATTCATTATATAAAATTTTTAAACTATATCATATATAAATATAATTAAAAATTAATTTGTATAATTAATATAATTTTGATTAATAAATATATTTTTACCTTTAAATTTAATAACTCTTCTAAAATTATTTAATTTTACATTTAATATAATATTTATTTTTAATTTTTAAATATTTTCAAATTATAACATATATTTATTTATACACTCATATATACAACGTACACGTCAATATTCAGTACTATTAATAAGGTTTCATGTATATTTAATGCTAATGAAGAGAGTTAGGGATATAACAACAAAATTTTGACAAGACAAGGTTACATCTAAACCATACAAATGTGTCATATAAAATTTTATCATCTATAATAATTTTATTCAATTTATATTATATAGTCTTGCAATCTCAGTAAAGAATACACATGATTTAAAATACAAATCAACCAATAGAAAAAATGACCCAACCTGTGATATTTTTGTTAGAATATTGTATATGATTAAGCTTGTTACTCTATTGACCTTTTCTTCTTTAGAAATATAGAAGAGATTATTTACCACTTTGTCATTTTTGCAATAGAGGTAATTAGTACAAGCAAAGGGCAAATTTGGTATCATAGATAAATGTGTGATGTCAAAAGCATAATTATAATTCTTATAATTCAGTACTTTCTTTAATGAGTAAGACAAGCTTGCCAGATGTGTTGAACCGTTGTTTATATTTTTAATCTATATATTCACTATATATACAAAATACATCATGAATGATTATTCTAATGCAATATTCTTTGGAATGTAGTATATTGTTATATAAATTAAAGCCCCAAATTGCAAGTATACATCATGCCATTTTGCTGGAAGTTTCAATCTGAGTAAGCTTCCGACAGTGTTGATTGATTTTTTCAGAGCACTACATATACATTTATTTATAATTTTAAAAAAATAATATATGAAATAATTTTTACAAATCAATTTATGTATAAGTTAAGAGGAGGGTTATAACACCGGTGTAACTTTTACTAAGTATTACACTGCTCGATAACTTAATATTAATTGTGAATTTTGTAAATCTAACTGTTAGATTGAAAATTCATATCACTTCATATGTATATATCAGATTTTGTTAAAATTGAACAACAACTTAAATATAATCAAAGTGTTCATATTTTAATATATTTTGAAATAAATATATTACGTCAATTTTGTTTTATAAGAATGAAGTATCAAATCATCTTGGATTAATAAAATTTTGTATATATAATCTAAGAGTAAAGAACTTTCAATCTAATAGTTAGATTGAAAAAATTCACATTTAATATAAAATTATTGAGCGATGTAATACTTGATAAAAATTACACCGATAACCCTCCTCGTAAGTTAATGTTAATTTATAAAAAAAACTTATTATATTGTTCTCTTTTTTCCTTCTTCTTTCTTTTATCCCGAAAAATTATTCATACATGCCTATAACATCAATTTAAAAACCAGGTAGAATTTCACAAAAGTGCAAAAAATGTTACCTTCCTTGCATATAGGCATACGAATTCCAAATATGTTTGATTCGGTTTACCAAAATCAATTCAAGTTTTCTGCGTTGAACACAAAATAACATAAGAGTTGCTAGGAAATTTCCCTGCATGGACATTTAGAATCCCCAATCACTTTCTTAAGCATCAGCTAGGATATTGTTACACTACTCATATTCTTGGTCTTCCATTGACTTTTTCAACAGGGATATTATTCTTAGTTAAAGTTATCGTTTGTACTTTTATTGTTGGCTATATATGAATCACTATAGTATCTATATATATCTATAATAATATATAAAGGATTTTTTTTTCTATTTTTCAAAAATAATCATAATCTTGTGTTGTATTTTGTTTTATTATTATTATTATTATTATTATTATTTTTATTAATTTATACTTAAAGATAAAATAGAAAAAATATATAAAATAATTACTCTCTTTAAAAATAATAACTATCAATTTTTGTGTTTCAGAAACATTAGTTTATTTTACTTTTTTCACAAAAGTATATATAAAGTATTTCTTTTCTTATTAGTTATTAATAAAAGGGATTGCCCCAATTTTATTCTTAAGATTATCTCTTAAATAACTCTTTTTTTAATACCATTTTTAAAAAAATTACCTTCATAATTATAACTATCCAAAAACTTTTATTATTAATTGTTCACTTTTATTTTATTTTATATTATTTTTAAAATACACATAAGACCACATGCCTTTAATATGCCCGTGAATCAACTAATATGCTTCATGTGCTATACACATCATCGATGATTTTATATTAACATATCTCTAGCATCAATCATACGTATATATAGGTTAATAAAATACCTGAAATAACTAATAAAAATTGGAAAAAGACAATCCCTAAAGAAAATAATGATATTAAAAACATTTATTAGAGAAGAACTAGGAAAAAGTCATGAAAAGAAATCAAGAAGGTGGGGCTTATAAGTACTCTAGGTCACCGTTTTCTTGGTAGCATGCAGGAAATTTTTCAATGAGTGGAAGCTCTCCAATGTCACTCATTATCTGCTTCTTTGTCCTACAATGGTTAACTTGGTCAAACGTGCTTCTAGGTCATGAAAACATAAGCCACTGTTCAAGGTCCAGTATGAGCATAGGTGCTGTGCTTGATTTGAGTTCACAAATGGGAAAGCATCAAAAGATAGCCATGGAAATTGCAGCCCAAGAGTTCAATCGGTTGAGTTGTTCCAAGCTGGATTTGGAGATTAAAAATTCCCACGGGAATTCACTTCAAACTGTTTCTAGTGGTAAGTTCATTTCCAACATTTTATATCTTACTAGCATACCCCAAAGAATCATGTTTTATAGTTTATGTGTGTGTTTGGTTTCACATTCACACTAGTTAATTCGTGTAAAAAACGTGAAAAGAAGAAATTATTATTTCTTACTTCTGAGTCAAATTCATGAAAACGTGAATCAGTGGCACATGCAAATCCAGATAAACACTAAATTTGTTTGAATACAAGTTTAAAAATATTTTTGAAAATTTTACTATAGAATGATACTCATTATTTTTATTAGAGAATCTCTTAAATATGTTTCTAATTTGTATTTAAACAAATTCTTTCTCTCTTCATTTCTTCCATTCTATCATGAATTTTTATACACGGAAGAAAATGAGTTTTTTTGTCCCTCTAAAATAGTACTTTACTTTTTATCACCCCAAAATTTTTCGTTTTGGTTTTGATAGCTCAAAAATCTGTGTTTTTCTTGATTGAGATATCTAACTTTCTTAACCTAGCACTGACGTTATTAACGGAGTTACATATCAGCATTATATTTGTGGATAACTTTGGATGACGTGACTATCACACATGGCATCCACTTTTTTTTTTTTTTTTTTTTCCTAGAATCTTTTTAAAGTTTAAATTTTAAAACTTTTATTTGTGTCTGTGTGAAATTCAATGTTTAGTGTTAATTCTTATAAAATTTAAAAGTTTAATTTAGTTCTTATAAAATTTAAAATTTGATTTTAGTCGGTTTTTAAACCTCAAATATTTTTGTTTATCCACTTTTATATTTATCTTACCAACATAATCGTATGAGATTATTCAAATTATAATTGTTAGTTCAATTGACAACTAGTTGGATAAACCCTTAGAACTAATCATACAAAGAATTGCATAAAATGAATTGATACTTGTATGTTGCTATAAACTTCAATAATATGACATATTTAATTAGGAAAGGATAACTACACCCTTTCTACCCACATGATCTCATATTCTTTTAAAAAGTTAAGCATTTAAAACAATTATGAATTAATAATAAATTTTTATTTAATAAATAGTATTTTGTATAACATAATATTATATTTATAATAATATTATTTATTTTAAATATATATACATATATATATATATATATATATATATATATATCATAATTTAAGTTTTGTTTATTTTATTTTACAGTTTAACTATACACGATGATATACCATTGATGTATTATTTTAATAAATTAACCTTCATCCAACAAAAAGATAAGTTGATATGGTTTTGTCCCATATATTATCTAGATAGATTCAAGTTCACATAAATGATCTTGACAAAATTTCAAATCAAATAAAAACAATCATAAACTTTATCAACATGTCAAACGCTCATACTACGAATAATATTATGAAGTTATAAATATTATGTTTTTTTTAATTTATTTAATGTTACTTAATATGTTATATTAAAAATTAAATAATATTATATAGGTTTTAATCATAAATATATAAAGATTAGACCATTAAACATTGCATCTTTTGAGAACCAATCAATTTTAAAAAACTTTATCCAAACTTCTATTATAGATTAGCAACAAAAGTAAAAGTTAAGCTATGACCTTAGATTACTCATTTGACAATCAATCAATTTTGAAAAACTTTATTCAAACTTCTATTATAGATTAGCAACAACAGTAAAAGTTAAGCTATGACAGATAATGACAAACGAATGACTTAAATTCAAATGAGACATTATAACCTCTTAGATATATTTTTTTCATACCATTTAGTAACTAACAAATTTACGACTATTGGTGTTATATTTCTTTAGAGAAATATTTTTAGAAGTTGTTGAATTAGAACTTTAATTGTTAAAACGTTGCTAACTACTAAAGGGTGCCAGGTACAGTGTTTGAAAGGTTTTAACGCCTTTAATCCTTAATGGTTGTTTGAATAAAATCGTGTGATGTTGTTGTGAGGTTAAAGTGTTATCGAATGAAACTATGATATAAGAATTAATAGAATAAGATCTTAACCATACATAAACAACCAAAAGTCGAAAACACATAAGTCCACAAATCAAAAACATAAAACAAGATCTAAATTAATCAATCAAAGTCCAATCCTCCAACAAATGCATGTGCATCATCATCATCTTCATTTTCTTCAAGCTCATCCTCTTCATTTGATGATAAGGGTTCTTCAATATTCACATCATCAAAGACCAAATCCTCAAGGTCATTTAAAGTTGGATTGGTTGAATCTCCAACTAGTTCAACATTTCCACCATCATCCACATTTTCATTTTCATCCCTAAGTGGTGGTTGGACATTCTCTCCATTAAAAATAGCATCTCCTTCCTCAGTTATCCACTCATCATCAGAATGAAGTTCATCAAAAGGAATAACAAGATTTCTTTTCACTTGTTTACTCTTTAGCTTCAAGTTATACATCACATAAACCAAATCATTCATCTTCCTTTGATGCAAGCGATTTCTTCTCTTTGTATGAACCTAGAAAATAGAACACAAAAACCAAAATTTCAAGATTACCTATAAGGCTAAAACTCTAATTTCTAAACATTAAAAATTAACAACTAAAAACAAAGACATTAATTCAATTACCATTTCAAATGAACTCCAGTTACGCTCACATCCAGAAGAGCTACAAGTTAAGCTTAGTACACGGATTGCAAACTTCTTTAACTCTGGACATCCATCCCCATAGAAGTCCCACCATTCTGCAGGAAGCATAATCTTCCTACTAGCCACTGCAGTATCAAGACCAAACAACCCTCTAGCATAATGAAATTCAGCAAGTTGCGTACCAATCTTGCTCCTCTCATTCAAGTCACTCACCAACCTTGTCATACAATTGTATAACCCTTGTTTAACCTCAACATCATCATCTCTAAAATTAGGGTCATAATGGAAATGGGGATTGAGGTAATATGCAGCTGCATGTAAGGGTCTATGGAGTTGTTTATCCCACCTTTCATCAATAATATTCCATACAGGTTCATAACTATAAATATGAAATAAATGCAAGTTAGGAATATTGCCATTATCATATACTAGAAACATGAGTACATAACTATACTAATTTACTAAATAAGATCATTAAATTTCAATAGAAATATAGTTTAGAACTAAGAAAAGTTTACCTTTTCTTAACATTGCCGAAGTTGATTTTTATCTTTTCCTTGGCACAATCCATCCCATCATATATAAAACCCATGGCAGGTTTTTCATCAGAATCCACCAAGCGAAGGACAGTCATAAGAGGAACAACGGCTTTGAGACATATGATTATGTTCTTCCATAGACGACTATCTAAAGCCATGCCTTCCACCTTTCTTCCCTCCGGTGTAGAGGAAAACTTACTTGATTTCCACTCATTTGAACTAAACATACACATCAATGATGCTTTATTATCATTGAGACAAGATAGAGTTAAATAAGCAGTAGCAAATCTAGTTATACCAGGCCTAACCAAGTCCCTCCCCTTAGTGAACTTCTTCAACATGCTAATGAGCATTGTTCTAGAGTATATGTAGGTGGTAATCTTTCTTCCTTTCTTGATAGTCACTTCATGAACCTTTAGCTTCTTCTCAAAATCCTCAAAAATCAAATCAATACAGTGAGCAGCACATGGAGTCCAATACAAATTCTTCCGTGTCTGCATTAACATTTCACCTGCTGCCTTGTAATTTGCAGCATTGTCTGTCACAACTTGGACAACATTCTCTTCTCCTACATAATTGACAACATCATCCAACATTTTAAAAACTTTATCAGCTGTTTTAGAGATGTCAGATGTGTCTAATGAATATAGGAAGACTGTCCCCTTAGGACTATTGATCAAAAAGTTACAAATTGATCGCCTCTTCTTATCTGTCCATCCATCAGACATGATTGAACAACCAGTCCTCTTCCATTCCTTCTTAAACTCTTCAAGCATTGAATCAGTTTCAATCACAGCTTGTTTCAAAAGCTTCTCCCTCACATCATGATAAGAAGGGGGTTTATAACCAATTCCATATCTCCCAATCATCTCACACATCTTTATAAACTCTACATTTTTAATGGAATTGAAGGGAATGGCACTTGTGTAAAAATACCTTGCAACTTGTTGATCAACTTGGTCCTTGTAGTCTTTTTTCATCATTTGGTTTAATGTTATTTGAACTCCAGAACCACCAACTCCTTTTCCTTTTGTCAAAGCCCTCATCTCCATCTCTTTCTCTATGTCATCTTCCTCATCAATATCAACCAATCTCTTTTTCCTCATTGATGTCTCTTTAGCCTCCGCAACAATTTTCATCATTAGAATTTTAACTTCTTCCGGTACCATTGCACATGGTTCAGAATCTTCTCTAGTACCAGCAAGGTGACGCTTAAATCTAAAAATCCCCCCACTGACAGTTTTTGTGCAATAGTTGCACTTCACCTTTTTTCCATTGCCTAGAACATCTGTCCCATGTTTCCAACCCATGTCAGTCCTATTTCCAGGGGCATTTTTCCTTGCTCTGGAAGAAGAAACTGCATTGCTTGAAGACTTTGAGCCACCACCGGTTTCAGACATCTTGCAATTATAGGAGTAAGAGACTAAGTATGTAAATTGTGAATAACACCAACAAACCAAAAAATCGAAAAATGTTAATAAGATTTAATAATATATTTTTTGTGTTATTATAATTTATATCTACATTTTTTAAAAATATACAAACATATATATTATATAATGTAAATAAAAGTAATTTTCAATAATAAATATTATGTGTTATTATATGATAATTTCTTTGTTGTGTAAACTTTAAATTTTATGAGGAATAAAACTTTTGAATCTTATAAAGACTAAAATCATATCTCTTAAAAAAATTAGGGACGAAAAATAAATAACAACTATGTAGATACAACAAATATCCGCGTGTACAATGTTGATGGGTAACTCGGTTAGCAACTTTAGCACTGAGTTAAAGGAGTTAAACATTTAAAATAAAAATAACATGTCTTATATTTTGAGGGTCAAAACTAGTCAAAAAAAAAAAAAAGTTTGGAGAGACAAAAATTGAATTTTAAACTAATTTAGAGGGATAAAATATATATTCTTCCCTTTTATTTATTTTCCCATTTCACACACATATATATTATAAAATATTTTTATGATTATTCATTAATTTAAATTAATGAAATGAAGTATCAAATAATTTTTAATTTTTTTGAAAATTTACAGATTTGATTTATGAATTAAAAACTTTAAATTCAATGGTTGAATTGTTGAAATTTGATATAAAACATGAGTTATTAAGCGGTATAATACTTAGTAAAAGTTACATCGGTGTTATTATAACCCTTTTCATTTTAAAATATATAAATCATTATTTAAACTTTTAAATTTATAATAAATAATTTAAATTGTATCATAATATTAACTTTAAATAGAAATAAGTAAGTATAATTAAATATAAAAGTAAGTATATATATAAATAAAGATTAATTAAATATAATATAATTATTATTATTGGTAATATAATTATTATATATATTATTATATTTTTATAACAGTCCAGACACACCGGAATGAGAGGAATACAAAGTTAGTATAAGTATGAGTTTGTGTTGAAGATGACTTAAATAAATTAATTTGTACTACCTATACTAACAACGTGCATATGCTTTTTGGTAGCTTATCTCATCAGAATTCTACTATTAAGCATGCTTGACTTGGAGTAATATAGAGATGAGTGACCTTTTGGAAAGTTTCCCAGAAATTGTGCAAGTAAAGACAAAACACATTGAAAAGTGAAGTATCGTGAAATATAATCCTTGAGAGGCCAAATATGAGGGTTGTTACATTAATAAATTTATTAAAATTAAACAAAAATTTTCTGATGGATTTTTCCGTCGAAATCATATAAAGATTTTTAAACAATTTTCGATGGATATATCCGTCGCTAATTTTTGACGAATGTATCTGTCAAAAATTATTTATGACAGATTTTTTTTTCGACGCCTCTTTTTCCGACGGATGTAAATCTGTCGAAAATAGAAAATTTTCAATGGATATTCCTTATTATTGATGGATTATGGCCGTCGGAAATTTGTATTTTGCTTGTAGTGTTATGTATGTTACCAAAATGTTCTTTGTTTAAAACAGGTAGTTTTCCTCGTAGTTCTTTTATTTCTTCTTTCAACATATATGCTCCTCATCCTTGAACATTAATCTCGTCCATGTTTTCTCAATGAAACAAGAAAATTCCTTGTCCTCAAACCAACAATCTATTGTCCTGAATTGCGTAAGTCCCCTATCTACCAAGCTATTTTTTAGTAGAATGGGACAATGGTTTGAGATATTCCTTTGTAAGATGTAATGTGAGCTACTAGGCCATTTTCTTAGCCAATCCATTAAATAAAAAATTGTCAATTTTGCTTCTTGCCATGCCATTTTGATGGAAACCTTATGGAGCAACCAGATTGATATGACTTCTCCTTCAAGTTCCTCCTTAGATCTTTTACTTCTTGACAATTTTCAAGCTTCTTCAAGGTTTCTAATAGAATTAGAGGCCTTTGGTTTCACCTTAGAAGGTAAAAAACTCTCTTCAAGTAGTGCCACTTCAAGGTAGAAGATAAATCACTTTAACTTTCACCACACTCTTAAGAAGAGGATAAGAGAATTGGAAACAAATCAAAGAGAGAATTTAAACTTTTGAGAGAGAGAATTAAGAGAGAATCACTCGGCCAAATCTCATAAATGCATTAAAAGTGAGTTTTACAAGTGAGATAACATATATATAGGGTGGATAAGCTTGTAGTGTAAGCTAGACAAGGTAAAGACAAGATAAGAATACTTAAATCTAGATTAGCCAATCATAGAGTGTCAAGTGTCATCTTGTCTCTTAGGAGGCAAAGATGGGACAATTAAATCTAGAAGAGCCAATCATAGAATTCCAAGTGTCATCTTTCCCCCTTGGCAAGCTAAGAGGCAAGTGTGAAGGAGAAGCCAAGCAATTTCGGCCAAGAGGGAAGCTAGGCAGCCATGCTTGATTTTTCTTAATTTAATCCAATCCAAAAATTTGGAATTGGTTTAGTTAGTTTCACCAAGTAATGGTGAGACCTAGCTAAATCAATTCTTTGAATTAAATGGAGAAAAATAAGCCTAATATGTAAAATTTAACCTAGGCCCACTAAAGGCCCAATTTCTAGCTTCATCTACAGATTTGCTATTTGCTACCCACAACTAAAACTAAAAATAAGAAAATCTATGATCCTTAATACAAGGTCAAATGAAGTAAAAGTCTCCAGCCAACATACCTTAAAATCCTAAGAGTATGATCTACAAAGAAAGATAATGGTGCCTTACAATGCAAATGAAAAAATAAGCCTATATAAGTATGTACTATATACAAGGTACTATACAAGGTATGCACAATAGGGATCATCATACTAAAGAGGAATCATACTCAATGCTCATATAGAACATAGGTATAAGAAGCACCTCCTTTATAGAAGCCTTCTCTAGCCTCCTAACCATGGACTTAGTTAAAGGTCCAATGACCTTCATGTGTGAGCTCTCTGTGGATGATCCTTCATCACATTTGGTCTATACCATGTGAACCTTCTTCCTACTGCTGGGACATCTTCAATTTCCATGTATATAATGAATTAATTAAAATCATTCACTTCCCCTACTCCTTGATTTGTCTTTCCTACCCCTTGTCTCTCACTCCTTCGTCTCACACTATTAAAGTCTCCTAACACACACCATAGGCTATTGCCACTATTTAATCTTTTTGTTTCAATTCTTCCTATATTTTACTTTTTTGAGTGTGGTTAGATGTGGCATACACATTGACAACTGTGACCTGCAAACACCCTATCTTCCATATGGCATTCATTCCTATGAAACTTGTACCCGAAAACTGATTTACAAGTTCTAGACAACCATTGCTCCATAGGCAAAAAAGACCACCAACCAATTCACCGAAGGATACACTAACGATTCCACTTGATAATCACCCCACAAGGTTTGGCAGAGTATTTTACTAACCTCAAGAATCTTAGTCTCATGTATACAAAAAACGTGTATGTTCCCCATATTAACTAAATTTCTAATGAACCTCCACTTTGTCCTCCCCCCAATCCTTGAATATCGCATGATAAAATATTCATCGATCACTTGCCTGGGCTCCCCTCGGATGGTACTCAACATTGCACTTATTAGCCTACTGATCTCTCTCTTCCATAAGCTTTAGTTTACCAAGAATTTCTTCATTTCCTCTATGAGGTACTCCAAATAGTAGCCCCAAATCCCATAGCTTTCTTGCCTCAGTTTCCTAATTTTTTAACCAGAAAATCTTGTTACAATTCCAAATATCATTGATAGACAGAGTCTAACTCAGCTTGGCTAATCAAGACTACCTCAACATCTGCCATAAGATAAATGTTAGCAACTTCTTCATCTGAATTGCTGCTTTCACTGTCGAGATCCTCACAGGTGGCCATCAAACTACTTTTGATATTCTTTTTGCTTGACCACCTTTTTCCTAGGTAGTGGACAATATGCTTTTAGATGTCTAGACTTCTTGCATTGCAAGTAGATGATATCCCTGGCCTCTGTTTTGTTGACCTTTCTCTCTTTCTCTTACTTCCTGTGTAGGTTTCTCAATCTTCCTTTCTTTTTTATCATGTTTTTGAATTTCTTGGACATTAGTGAGATTTCATTGTCTGTTGAGTCTTCTAAGGTATCGTCTGACCTGTTTGACTCAAATTCAACTTTTAGTGCTTTTCCTTTTTCTTTTCTTGCATTTGTCTCACTACTTTTCAAGACAATACTGTCTTTTTCCTTGGGTTGATCTCTGTTATTCAAATGAACCTCATGAACACGAAGTGTTCCAAGAAGTTCATCAAGAGTGATAACTTTTAAATCTCTTGCTTTAGAGATGGTAGTGAATTTGGGTTCCTTGACTTTAGGAAGATTGTCTAGGATGTTGAGATTATTTTTGAGTTTTGGTGAAATCGGTTCCCAAGGATTTTAACCCATTTATAATTGTTTGGAATCTTCCAAACATTTTGTCAATGGTTTCATTCTCCTTCATTGGGAACAAGTCAAAGTGCCTCTGAAGAGTGGCAACTCATTTGAGTCTAACATCTTCAGTGCCCTTATGAGTTACCCTTATGGCATCCCACATCTCTTTTATAGTAGAGAAGTTGTAGAACTTTTTGTACTTAGTTCTATATAGGGAACAAGCAAGTATGTATCTTGCTTTAGTGTTCTGCTACAAAACGTTGTAATCTTCTTGAGTGTATTGACTCTCAAGTTTAGTTACCTCAATGTCACCTTGGGTGACGATCCTTCAGAGCTGGTTCTGGGTAGACTTGATGAACATTTTGATCCTGTCCTTCTAGTATGGATAATCTTATCTATTAAAGGCTAAATGCCTTATTAAAGAACCTCCTTCTGACAAATACTGTCCTTCACTACTTCCCATTTTGAATCTTTTTCCTTTAACATTGTTAGATGCTCAATGCCCCAAAGGCTAAGCCTTTATACCAATTTTTGGAGAAAAAGATACACATTAGAAGGGGGGTTGAATAGTGTATATCAAAAACTTGAGCTTTTGTAGTGAAGTTGTAGAAACTATGATAGATGAAGTACTAGAAATCAACAGATGAAGTGGCATAAGTGTTTATACTAGTTCGTCTCAAACATGGAGACTACGTCTAATTTATAATCCAACCAAATTAAGTTCCATTATCTTGTACAAGATACAAGTATTCTTTCACAAACCATTTCTGGCTCAACACCAAGTATTCTTTTAACAAGCCTCTCCATACTCAATCCTAAGTATTCTTTTAACAAGTCTCTCTAAGCTCAAACCCAAGTATTCTTTTTGAATAAGCTTTTAAAGGCTCAAACCTTACAAATAAATTTGACAAGAGTTATAAGGATAACTTCGTTTCTTGTAGACAAGATGCTATGAAAATACAACACAAATAGACTACAAAGAACTATGTACAAGATTTACAATGAAGAGTTTTTGTAGTGCTTCAACTTTGTTCTCAATATGTTTGATTAGTGTATACTGCTCAGTGAATGTTGATATTTTTATGTACAACATTTTTCTTCGTGTGTATTCTATGTTCTTTACTTTGTGTCCGATGGCTTGATCCTTATATAGTAGTTTCAAAGAAGATGACCGTTATAACAACATTGGATTTAAAACATTCAAATTTCTTCATAAGTTGCTTCATCTGTCTTCCTTGTTGATCCCAAAGATTACCGTTGATGCATGTATCTCTTATCTGATCAAAGGAACTACTTATCTTCATTTTCTTCTAAATTGAGTGTAGTAGAGTAGTGTCAGCGTAGAGCAGTTGGGGTTGGTGCAGAGCAGTCTTTTTCAATACCTTTTCTATGATATCCAGGATTTTTCTTTTTATTTTTTCATGAATATTTTGTCTTTTTCCTCTTCAATGCACTTCGAGAGTTCCAAAGTTCCTTTTTGTTCAATCTACTAAGGAATAATACATGAAGTTTAATGTTAGTCATATATAACAATGTTCATTTAATGTCATCATATGGACTATATATTTTGTTTGATTTCTTTCATTTTACAAATGATATGTATTTTCTTCACATTTCATCTGATATGTTTTATCTTTGAAGAATGCTAACTTTTGCTTAAAGAAAATCTTTTGTTTGTCATCATTAAAACTTAAAGGATCGTCTATTGTCTTAAAACAAAATTTTTGATTTAACAAGCATGTTTCAATTTTGTACAAGGTACATAACATCACTATTAGGTTGGCCTAGTCTTAAATGCCACATACATTGAGTTCTAGGGGATACAACATTGCTATTACATGATTAGGCTACAATACATGAAGGCTTATTATATTGACCAGTTTTCAATTGAAGACTTGAAAAATGATAAAGACCATCTAGTTGAACATGACCTTGAAGAATAGTTTCTTATTAGCCTATAATTTGTCAACTATTATTAGGATGGAATTCAAAAATGACAGAGTTGTCTTTTTCACCAATTAGAGATTTAGTGATGGAAGAAACTTGTAAAATATTTTGAAGAGCAAGTGATATTTAATGATGGAAAACCCTCTTAGAATTAATGAATGAAGAACTACTAATGGGAGGTCTCCTTGACTCCAAGGATCATGATTCTTGAAGTATTCTAGCCTCAAATGATGATGATGGTCGAGAATGGGAATGGAGGAAAAGTGTTTGATGAAAGGCTCGAGAGAAACTCTAGGTTTTGACTCACTTCAAGGTGGATGAAGGCCACTACTAGGGTTGGTGCACTCAAGGTGGGGAGAAAGGGTGGTGGCCGAAAATGACATAGAATGACTAAGGAAAGATGTTGAAGCACAAAAGGCTCACTCAATATCATATAATCCAAAGTAATTACATGTAGCATGGACTAGGGTATTTATAAATTAAGATTTGAGGTCATAGACCAATTTAGGGTGACGACTAGTTTACAATTGTGCATGCGTTTCCGTGCTAAATGTGAAGCAAATGCAATACAAATGTAAGCCACATGTAACCCCTAAATGTGACACTTACTTGATGGCCAAGAATGAAATCTTTGGCTTGGTTAAGCTACATCTAGGTACATAATAAGACCATCCAACCTAGGCACCCTCCTCTTGGGCGTAAGCCTTTCCAAGTCCAAAAATAACTCCTATAATCACCAAAAACACGTCTAGGTCTGGTTCCCCAACCCTAATAAAATACCCTAGTTACAAGATAAAATTCTATAATTTAAGGCACAACAAAATACAATGGTAAAATGAGAAATTTAAGTAAAAATAAATCTTATGTCTAAGGTGCCCAAAATATAAAGATAAAATAAGAAATTAAAGATAAGGGCAAAATAAGAATAAAAATAAATCCTATAAAAACTAGGCTTAGGAGAATGACCAATACTCTATAATCATGAGGAGTATGTCTCTAGGAATGTTAGCTCCCCTATTCTCTTCTACTCTCCTAGCCATGGACCTAGTGAAGGATGGTTCTCCATCATTTAAGGACTAAAAATGATTGAAACTAGGAGAAACTAGAGAATACAATAGCAAACCTTGGCCATGTTAAATGTATATTTAATCTAGTCCTTCAAAAGGAGTAAATTGTTGTATGCTTGTGTTAGGTGTTACATGAAAAGACGTATTTGAGTCTATGGTCCTTAAGAGGTAGGAACAACATTAACTAGTGATCTTGATGTGGTATTTTGAGTTCTTGAAGGTCAGACTCATACATTTAATTGAGAAAAGTTTTGATTCCATGAAGGAGATTGTGTAATACCAACATTATTGTAAGCTTGAGAATAATTTCATGAAGTAAATCTTGCATTGTGAGATTATAACAAGAATTATAGAAATTCAATTGATATTATGGTTGATAATGCTAATTGAAACATTGATAACACGCAAAAGCAATATGCTCACATTTTAAGTATACTTGGTACTAGAAATTAGATTGACCACCTCGTCCACGATAACTTTTATTTCTATCAATGTGGTCACAACTAGAGCCATAAAATTCACGTGACTCATTTGTAAATTGATTGTTAGTAAGATATGCTTGTGCTAGAGAAATATTATATACTTTATGTGTAGAGGCATTTATCCCGAGAATGTGAGTGAGATTCGTATCACTAGAAACAACAATTTACTATTTTCAAAATGTTTGTAACCTTATTTTCTGTATGAGTAAAAGTGCCTCAACTTCTTCAATAGGCAGAGGCTCAAATTTACTTTCAATAAAATACGTGACTAAACTTCAATTTAGTGGAAGTCCTTCTAAAATGACCTCAACATATTCTTGATTAGAAATTGGATCGGCCATAAATTTGAGTGAATCAATAAGGGATTTAATTTTCTGTAGAAATTTGGTGATAGAACAACCATCAAGTGTGCTTGATCAAAGAGTAGTTCATAGTTGATGGGCTTGAGTGTGAGTTTGATTATGAAAATAATCTTGAAGTTTCTCTTAAATTTGATATGAATGAACATAACTAAGAACACAAAAGAGAATCGATGATAAGATTGACAATTTAACTAGGACAACATCATCAAATCTTGTTGTTCCCACACTTCAATAATCAGATTTATAACCACAACATCATGATCTAAAAAAGATCAAAATTGAAGACGAATATTCGATGCAACAACATAGTAGTGAAGGTGAAGTCCCTCAGTAACAAGTTCCACTTGTTATCGCTTTAAAAGAAAATTCTTCTCATTTAATATGAAATTGAATGGGAGAAACCAGCAAAGAGTTCTTCATTGACAAAAATAGTAGTTGTGGAGGAGAAAAAACAAAAGCCATCAAGGATCGACAACTTTTCCTACCATATTGAAGTTAAGAAAATAGTATTGTGAATTTTATGGATTAAAATAAACTCAACTACGTTCACTAAAATAAGATAGGTATTTATACAAAAAGAGTCTAACTATGTGGCTTACAAGAGAAGCTCCTAATAGAATAACTTACATAATAAGCTACGATTAGCTTACATGAGAAGCTATTTAATTGACTAGGTTATACTAAATTGCCAATATTCAGTCAATTGAGTAATATACTCATACAAGGCACTTGGCATTATCATTTTTCTTATGTACATAAGAGATTATTTCTAATGACTATTATGAGACTAGTGCATGACTCTGATTTTGTTTTTGATAATAATGACGAGAGTCTCAAATTGACAGAATTAAGAAACGATGTAACAACATGGACTATTATTATGTATTAATATAGATAGTATAGAGAATAAAACTTTCATTTTCTTCATACATGGATTAATTCTTAATGTTTTATCACTTATAAAAATAAAATGATTAATTTTAGCCATGTCATTTTATCAACCACATCAACCACACCTTGGCATCACTAATAAGATCGTTATTCATCCAAAAACTAATACTTAAAGAAGTGTCAACTATATGGATTAAACAAATGATTTAACTAAGTTAGTACAAGTGAAACATCCTAACATGATTTTATTTTTGTAAATATAGCTATGGATCTCGCCCAAAGCAAGAAAGTCTTAGCCATCATAGGCACAATAACACATATTGAAGCAACTCTAGCAAGTGCACTCAATGACACCATAAAAAATATTCCTATCTTGTCTTTAATTTCACCTGTAGCCAGATCAGAGCACTTATCTCCTCTAATGCCATACTTCATCCAAGTGGGATATGATATCAACCTTCACATCCAATGCATTGCAGCCATTGTAGGAGAATTCAAATGGAGAAAGGTGACAATAATCTATGAACTTGATAACTGGTTTTCCTCTAATCCAGGGATGCTACTTAACCTCTCAAATTCTCTTAGACTTGTTGGTTCTGATATTGATAATCATATAGCTTTCCCTTCCTTGTTCTCACTATTAAACCCAAAATTTACCATTGAATATGAGCTTAATAAACTAAAAAAGAAGAGTAACAGGGTCTTCTTGATTGTGCACTCTTCTTTAGAGCTGGCTAATGCACTTTTTGAGACAGCAAATCAAATGGGTTTAATGGGAAAAGGTTGCGTGTGGATTATCCCAGATGGGGTTGCTGGCCTTCTTGATTCAGTTAAATCATCTGCTATACTTAACATGCAAGGAGTTATTGGATTTAAGACACACTTCATGGAAACAAGTAAGGAATTTAGAAAGTTCAAATTCAAATTTCGAAGAAGGTTTTTGTTGGAGTTCCCTGAAGAAGAGAACAATAACCCAAGTTTTTTTGCACTTCAATCGTATAAAGCAACTTGGGCAGTTGCTCAAGCTACAAGGAAATCACAAGGGAATAAGTTAACCCATGAACAATTATTCAAAAGTAATATCTCAAGGATTGGTAGATTAAAACAATCACATGCCTTCAATATAATTAATGTTGTGGGTAAAAGTTATAGAGAGTTGGCTTTATGGTCTCTATCACTAGGTTTCTCCAAAAGCCATGTTACACAACAACTAACAGAGATGAACAAAAATAGTGCTTCTAGCGAAGTTTTAAGTAGTGTTTATTGGCCTGGAGGTATACAATTTGTTCCTAAGGGATGGACTCACAGTTCCCAAGAAAGGACACTTCAAATTGGAGTGCCTGCAAATGGTGCCTTCACTGAGTTTGTGAATGCAACATATGATAATGAAAGGAATAAAACTTCTTTCTCAGGATTCTCAATCAATGTCTTTAGAGCAGCCGTTCATAAGTTGCCTTATGACTTGGATTTCAATTTTGTCTCCTTCAATGGGTCTTATGATGAAATGGTAGAACAAGTCTATAATAAGGTATGACATATGATAATAATTAACTAGTTCAATGAATTAATATACAAGATTTATTAATTATTGTATTATGAAATTATATGTACTTAATTTTTTATTTGTAAGAAAGATTTTGAATTATTGTGACAATTTAAATCTAAGACTTGTACATATAATCTAAACTCTCTACCACTAGGTTGATCCTACTAGTTTATACCTACTCATAAATTAAAATACACAATTTAAATGATTAAACTTTCACTTTTCTTACTTTCTTAGTTAGACAATCATATTTGTTTTTTAGATGATTGTTTAACATATAATTGCTACATACAAAAAATATTTGTTGTCTCAATAATTTTTAAATTTTATCAATATACTTTCACTTTTTAACCATCTATCCATTTCAAAATGTAATTTATATATTAAAAAATATTTAGTTATTATGAATTTAACTTATAATTAATGTAATTTATATGTTAAAAATACTTATTATTTTGAAAGTTAAGTAGATAAAAATAAGCATTTGTTCTATGCAATACACAATTTAAAGTACCAGTGTTTGTATAAACCACAACCCCATTTTCTCCTGCATTTGTTTCTTCTTTTTAAATTGTTTCCTTTTCATAATACAAATCTAAACTTTTATTTCTATTGTAGACATTGGATGCTGCTGTAGGAGATACATCAATAGTGGCAGATAGATATCATTTAGTTGACTTCTCACAACCGTATGTTGAATCTGGCATTGACACGGTAGTTACAAAGGAGTCAGCTAAATCAAAAGAAACATGGGTTTTTTTAGAAGCCTTCACAAAAGAAATGTGGTTGATAATGGTAGCATTGCACATTTTCGTGGTATTCGTCATTTGGTTGATCGAACGACAAGTGAATGCAGAACTAAAAGGATTAGGGTCCATGCTTTGGTTCATGGTCACTGTAATATTCTTTGCACACAGTAAGTCTTCTGACACAATGCTCAAGTTCAAAAGAGTAAAATTTCATAACTACTAAATAATATCATTAGTACCAGTTTAGGACCAAAACTTCAACTAACCCTATGATTATGTTATGTTTTTTTTTTAAATTGTATGCCTATGAAGCAAATAACAATATAGTAACAGCGAGTCAAAATATATGTAGAGATATCTCTACTTTGTTTTGTCACCCTATATATAATATGATACTCACCAAACCATTTCAATCACAACTTTTCTTTTCCAAATCATATCCCTAATTATTGGTACATTTCTAAATTCTAACAAGCAGGAGAACCAATTACAAGGCCCTTGGCTCGAATTGTGCTATCACCATGGTTATTTGCTATCCTCGTTATAACTAATACTTTCACGGCAAGTTTGACCTCTATGATAACCGTTGCACAACTAAAGCCATCTGTGTTAGATATCCAAACCCTCCTTAAAAGAAATTCTCCAGTTGGTTGTGATGGAAATTCATTCATTCAGAAGTATTTAATTGAGGTACACGGTTTCAAGCTTGAGAATATTAGGAAAATGAAATCCACAAGTGATTACCTTGTTGCCTTTCAAAACAAGGATATTGAAGCTGCCTTCTTTATTGTGCCCCACGCTAAGGTCTTTTTGGCAAAGTACTCATGCATGGGTTTCATTAAAGCAGGGAAGACTTTCAGACTTGGTGGCTTAGGTTTTGTAGGTCTCTTTTCTCATTGTCACAATTTTATGACATGTTTGGTAGTAGTGAAAATTTGGGTATTTTAAAGGAAAATTTGAAATTGGAGATTAAATGAATACCAATATTTCAGCACTCAATACATGTATTTCTCCAATTTTAACTCCTACCAAACTTAACTTAAACACTGCACATGGTATTTTTCAAAAATGATTTTTCTATTTTTAAAGCTATTTAAACTAACATGAACATTTTGGGGTTTGATTACTTAGGTATTTCCCAAGGGTTCCGCTCTAGCTATTGACATATCCGAGGCGTTGCTTAAAGTGATAGAGAGTACAGAAGTTGAACAACTAGAAAAAGATATGATAATGGTAGGTGGCAATTCCAGTTGTTCTCATTTAAAGAACGTGGCAAAAGATACTTCATCCATAGGATTTCAGCCTTTTCTTGCCCTATTTTGCGCATGTCCTATTGTTGCTATTCTAGCATTGTTATATAATATGATTTGTTTGTTGAAAAATAATGTGGAGACTTTCACTAGCTACATACATGTAAAATTAGCACCATTAAGGAGAATATGGAGATGGACCACCACATATTTTGCATGGATCTGTTCAAGACTACAATCAGCTAGAAGTATAAGAAGGGTAAGTACTGTCTTAGTATCAAGAAATGCAGAGGAGACTGTCATTAATAATCAACAAAGTGTAGTGGCTGTTGAGCTTGTATAGATGTAATATTTGATGGTCATGCTTCCTAAGATATTGATTTTCAAATTGTTGCAAAAAAGAAAAAATTCATTACCAAAGATTTAAAGGATTTAGGAACACATTTCTTTTGGTGACATTATGACAAGATAATGTTAAGAGATAAAAAGATAAGTAAATTTTAATATTATATTTAAAGAAAACTACCTAAAGAAATTTATAACTTGACTCAACCCACTAAAGTTGGCTATTTAAAGAAAACTAAAAATGTCTCCTAAAAAGTGAATATAAAAATAAAATTATATTTAAATGGAAAAATAAAAACTATATATACTAATTACACAAAACTTTGATGCTAATTACTCATTTACGCCATCTATTGGCCAAAAAATATTTGGCTTTTGAAGTTTGCACTATAATTATACATAAATTCATATAAATTTGCTTTGAACTATATTAATATCATATACTTTAATTCCAGTTGTCAATAAATGTACATATTATTGGAGTCTATTGAAATAAGTTGGCTTTGACATGAAGTTGTCCTAGTGTGTTTGGTTAATGCATATTAATGTCGGAATAACCTGAAAAATTTTGATTTTATCCACAAATGGTTTAAACCTCCGATTTAAAAATCTCATCGGTTAGGGAATGTCCAGAAATCAAACTAATCCCTAATTAATGGTTTTTAGAAAAGAGTTTGAAGGAGTTTTCATCGATGTTTTACTCAAAATATTAAAAAAAGAAAACATTTTTAAAATTACCAAAATGACTCTTATAACCAATTGGGTTTAGGGGTCGATTACGTATAAGAAAGATATTATACACCCTATAATGCCCTATATCGGTACCTATGATGAAATTAACGCGATAGATAATAAAAGTTCAAATATTTGGTCTCCTTTATTAATGGTTATTTACATACTCAATATTAAAATTACACAATTGAACCTAAGATGTCTACATAGTCGCCTTTATTTATGACAATGTTTATTACAAGAATAATAGATGATAAAGAAGGAAATTGATGGGAATACCTCTTGAGCGGGCTTTTTATAAAATGTTTCTAATGTTGTGGACTTGAGGCACTTTTTGGTTGTCTTACGTACTACAATTTACATCACAAATCTCAAGAAATACAAAGTGAAGGAGAAAGAGAAGATTTCGAGCTATATAGGACTCTAGTAGGCAATTTTTCCTCCACGAGAACTATACACGATCTCATATTTATAGACGTCAAACTTAGTTGGAACGACTGTTCTTCACTGGAATGGGCCGTTCTGGCTTAGTTTGTTATGAATCTAGAATGACTCGTTCCAAAATCAGAATGAACCATTTCAGATTTGAAGTTAACTCATAATAACTTGGGTAAAAACGTCCCATTCTGAATTGGGAATGTCCCGTATTGACCTAAGGTTTGTAGGCTATTTTAGAAGCTTGGAATGGCCCATTCTAGCCTCCTAATTCATCCTTTTTGGGTTTCTGGGCCTTTTGATTTCATCCTGGTCTATTCTGATGTCAATGAGTCATTCTAATGTCACGTTGGTCCGTTCTAGCGTCATATTCGGGCCTTCAAAAAATCCTTTGTCTCGTCGTACTAAAGGCCCATTTCCTTGTTTGCATGTCTTAGATGAAATTAGGTGTCTACAATTAAAAGTAGAGAATATGATAAAAGAAGCCGCTAAAAAACTAAAGGTATTTGAGATAATGAATTATTAGTTGAAAAAAGTAAGCAACTCGAGGCAAGATTTTTACAAGCTAAAGAAGAAGCCAAAGTAATCAAAGATATATCATGCAAGGTTGAAAAAGAAGACGAACCTACTTTTAACCTTGATAGTATGGTTAAAAGCGATTCCAAATTTGAAATATCATTTATGTATACTTGCCTTAAAGATCATACACAAAGTCATGTTGATAGTTTGATAACTCGAACACCATGGATGACTTATTGTAGGAAAAAAAAAAAATAAGAAGAGACAATTAGTTCCTTAATTTGTGGTAGATGTATCATTTTTTTTGTGTGTCAAATGTATATAAGAAAGATTCCCTTAGTGTTGGCTTATTAGTACAACTATTTATGTTTTGTGATAAGTAAACCTCTTTGTATAGGAACAATTATCAAAGAATTTAAATTTCTTACTTATAATTTATTTATTGCTTTTAAGAATAATGCATACTGTGATAATGGCTTGTTCAGAACTGGTTGGTAACTTGTCTTCTATTAAAAAATCCATTTGTTGACGATGTTGATGTATGGTTACAATTTGTTGTGGTGGTATAATCACATATGATGATAATGGTTTTGTGTACAAGTACTTTTATATCTAATGTAGATGCATTTTTTGGGTCTAATTTCCAATCTTTAATTTTTGACCTTTGTGTTGTAGTTGGACATTTTATATAGACACTACTTTTACAGTATTTAAGTTGGCACTATCTGTTTCTTACCAAGCCCCTGGAGGCTCCAGGCTTGCCATTTGGATCAATGTGTTATCAATGATGTTTTGGAAGTTCCATGCTAGGTATAATGGTATGGCTTATGTCATTTTATTTTCAAAGTAATTAAGTTGTTATTATGACATTAACGCTAAAACCTAAAGTTATATGGATTTCCATTATGAACAACTTCAAGGTGGTGTTAGTTTAGGCAATTTCACACTAGGCATGAGGAGATGTTATGCATGTAAGCAAAATCAACATATAAAAAAATGAATTAAACCACTTAATAAAATATGGTTAACCAAGTTATATTAGCTAATGACATGAGTGAGGGATTGAGTTGAACCCTTTTCTTTATGCTTCTAAGAGTGATTTTAAAGTCCAAAGTCTATAGTTAACACTACATGATTGTGTGCATTGGTCCAATGCGGTAGTTCCCTAATGGAACTATATTATTCACAAGCCATACCAAATGTTTAGCCAGTTTTAACAAAGGGTTAACCATTGAGTGTCTATTTAGATGGTGCTCGATCTAACTATGTTTTGGACATTTAAATTAGTACTTTTATAGGCCATATATGTGCATGGTGGAATTGGGAAAGGCACCTGACACATAATCCACGACATGAAGCAAAATCACCATGTATGGATGTGGAATAAATACTTAATAAGACAAGATTAACCAAATAATATAACCTCGTGACATGAGTGAGGGATTGGGTTTTTCCTTTTTTTTTTTTTTTTTTTTTTATCTTTTTCAAAGTGATTTTGAAGTCCAAAGTCCATAGGTTACAATGGATGATTGTGTGGATTGGTTCAATGGAGCAGTTCCCTATTGGAATCGTGTTTCACCCTCCAAACCAAGTACTTAACCACTCTTTAACAAAAGGTTAACTATACTATATGACCATTTGACTTGAAGTGTTGGATGGGGTTGGGACCCATTCATTATCTTTCATAAAGTTACTACAAGGTAAAATATTCAATGATAAGTTAGGATGAATGGTTATAATGGATCAATGCAACTCATACATAAGGAACTCAGATTAACATCCACAACAACTGATTCACCACTTGGCTACAAGCATTTAATGATGTACAAGGCCAAATGCCACAAGCATTTGACACACTCCAATTCTCAAAATTGGTACTCTCTCTCTTTTGACTCCTTTCAGATCACACTGAGTGAGATAAACTCAGTGCAGTGTCTGATTAAGGGATCTTTAAGCCCTTTGGCAGAGATTTTAGGGTTTGTAGTTTAAATTTTTGAGAGGAAGCGAGGATGTTGTAGAGCGAGGAGGCTTCCACAAAATGCCTTCATTTTCTTGTTATAAAGCTTGGTTCGGAGGTTTCAATCTCTTTTCCTTTCTTTATTTATTGCGTTATTTATTACTTTAAATTATGTAGTTCAGAATAGATGCCATGTAGATAATTTATCATTAGATGCTTAATAAATGGGTTTAAACAATAATCTTTGCTTTAATTTGTTAATGAATACGTTCATAGGGTACTAATATTAGGCGTTGTGGGGTTCCTAACACCTTCCCCACGTAATTGACCCCCGTACCCAAATTTGTTTGCATTAACCATTTCCTTTTTTGATGTTATAAGCAAAATATCGATGGAAATTCCATGAACATTTTCAAAACCATTAGCAGAGGTTTAGTTCGATTATCGAGCATTCCAATGTCAATGAGATTTTAAATAATGGAAGTCAATAAACCATCTAAAACCCAAAGACTTAATAAACATTTTAGGGTCAATTTCGATAGATGGCGACACCACTAGGGATAGCCAAGAGGGTCAGGTCCATTTAGTGATGTATTTATTAAGAAAACGAGGCCTTGATTAAAGTTTTTATCCCTACATTTGTTTGTAAATAAACTATTGTTTAACTTGGCTTTAATAATTGTTGTTTGTTTAAATTCAACACTTGTTCGGAAATAAACTGCACACAAACCATTACACACAACAGTTCCCTCTATACTTGAGGGTAAGAGTGAGTTATGACCATATGGAGTGGGTGACGTACTACTGGTCGTAGACGGGTCTAGCTACCCACAGTTCATTGTCGAAAATTATAGCTCGAGGTGTTAACCAGTTACACTAGCCCGATGCACTAGATGAACCTTAGCTGTTTGCCAGTTGACGATGACAAAGATACTAGATCCCTATGATGGGAGCAACTTGGGGGCCTGAGACTAGTAAGAACAGATAGAACCACCAAATACTATGCACCTTTCTGCAGGAACCTCAACCCATGGAAAGAACGTGAATGCTCATAGGTGTATGTTGTTTGAGCATGTGTGTGTGCATTGTTTGTATGTATTGTTTGTTTTTCGAAGGAGTAGGGTGAAATTTTTACAAACAATAGTTAATTAGGGTTTAAGTAATACCCTTTTAAGCATGCTTAGGCCATCATAATAAAATATACAACATCATATAGGTAGAATTCTCATTTATGGAAAAACCATGTACAAAAAATATATATATTGAATAAACAAGTCATCATGCATCAATTTTCATAGGAATAAAACATGATAAACGTAGGCAATAAACACAATGGCATGCACATTTTAGGCTAG